ACCGTTGGCTATTGTATCAGAGACAGGTTATGTCACTGTATACCCGTCCACATCTGTATTAGAAAAGTATAGCATTGCAGCAGAGTTTACTACACAGATTCCTAAAAGGCTTTATGCCGCATTACATTTAGTTCCTGATCTCTGCTCTGCTACAGTATCACCAGTAACACTTGTATCTAAATTAGAGGAGGAAAAGATATTGTATCCCACTGTGTCTTCTCATAAATATGAACAAACAACGGAACTCACTGCACATATACCAGAAAAAACACAAGCAACCTCTATGTTTGTCCCTGAACTGGACTATGCCTCTACTCAATCTGTAACCCTTGTGTCAGAGGCTGGCCAGGTTGTAATGTATCCTTCTGTGTGTGTCCATACGCACGAAATCACAACAGAACTCATTACGTATATCCCAGAGAAAGTGCATGCAACTACACTATGTATTCCTGAACTGGACTATGCATCTATCCAGCCTATTACACTTATGTCTGAAGCTAACCAGTCTATAGTACACCCTAAGTTGTCTGTTGATAAACACGAACACGCAACAACAGAGGAATTCTCTATTTATATTCCAGAGAAAGTGCATGCGACTATGAAGTGTATTCCTGACCTGGATTATGCATCTATCCAGCCTATTACACTTGTGTCTGAAGCTGGCCAGATTGTAAGATATCCTATCTGGTCTGTTGATAAACACGAACACACAACAGAGGAACTCACTCCTTATATTCCAGGAAAAGAACATGCAACTGCACAGCATATTCCTGAGCTGCAGTGTGCAGCTGTCCTTCCTATTACCGTTGTGTCTGAAGCTGGCCAGACCGTAATGTATCCTTCTTTATCTGTTCTTGAACACGAACACACAGATGGATTTACTCCTTCTATTCCCGAGAAAATCTATGCAACTACAAAGTTTATTCCTGAGCTGGACTATGCATCTATCCAGCCTGTTGCACTTGTTTCTGAAAGTGGCCAGATTGTACGGTATCCTACTTGGTCTGTCCATGAATGTGAATATACAGCAGAGGAACTTACTCTTTGTTTACCAGAGAGCGTTCATGCAGGCTCACAATATGCTCCTGCATTGGACTATGTAATTGTTCAGCCCGTTACTATTGTATCTGAAGCTGGCCAGAGAGTTTCGTATCCTACTATTTCTACACACAAGCAAGAACATTTAACAGAGGATTTCACTCCTTATTTCCCGGAGAAAGTTAAGGCAGTGATACAATATGTTCCTAATCTGGACTGTGCGTCTGTCCAGTCTATTACTGTTGTGTCTGAAGCTGGCCAGGCTATAATGTATCCTTCTTCAGTTGTTCTTGAACACGAACACACAACAGAAGAATTTACTTCTACTATCCCAGAAAGAGTGCATGCAACTATAAAGCGTATTCCAGAAATGGAGTATGCATCTGTCCAGCCTATTACCCTCGTGTCTGAAGATGGCCAGACTGTAAGGCATCCTACCTTTTCTGTTGATAAACACGAACACACAACAGAGGAATTTATTCCTTCTACTCCAGAGAAGGTCCATGCAGTTGTCCAAAGTATTCCTGAATTGGACTATGCATCTATACAGCCTCTTACACTTGTGTCTGAGAGTGGCCAGACTGTAAGATATCCTACCTTTTCTGTTGATAAACACGAACACACAACAGAGGAATTTATTCCTTCTACTCCAGAGAAGGTCCATGCAGTTGTCCAGAGTATTCCTGAATTAGACTATGCATCTATACAGCCTCTTACACTTGTGTCTGAGAGTGGCCAGACTGTAAGATATCCTACCTCTTCTGTTGATAAACACGAACACACAACAGAGGAATTTATTCCTTCTACTCCAGAGAAGGTCCATGCAGTTGTCCAAAGTATTCCTGAATTGGACTATGCATCTATACAGCCTCTTACACTTGTGTCTGAGAGTGGCCAGACTGTAAGATATCCTACCTTTTCTGTTGATAGACACGAACACACAACAGAGGAATTTATTCCTTCTACTCCAGAGAAGGTCCATGCAGTTGTCCAAAGTATTCCTGAATTGGACTGTGCATCTATACAGCCTCTTACACTTGTGTCTGAGAGTGGCCAGACTGTAAGATATCCTACCTTTTCTGTTGATAGACACGAACACACAACAGAGGAATTTATTCCTTCTATTCCAGAGAAGGTCCATGTAGTTGTCCAAAGTATTCCTGAACTGGGCTGTGCATCTATCCAGCCTCTTACAATTGTGTCTGAGCGTGGTCAGACTGTAAGGCATCCTACCTTTTCTATTGATGAACACGAACACACAACAGAGGAATTTATCCCTTCTACTCCAGAGAAGGACCATGTAGTTGTCCAAACTATTCCTGAACTGGACTATGCATGTATCCAGCCTATTACACTTGTGTCTGAAGCTGGTCAGACTGTAAGATATCCTAGCTTGTCTGTTGATAAACACGAACTCACAACAACGGAGGAACTCACTCCTTATGTCCCGGAAAAAGTTCATGCAACTATACAGTGTATTCCTGAATTGTGCTATGCATCTATCCAGCCTATTACTGTTGTATCTGAAGCTGGTCAAACTATAGTACATCCTGCCTTGTCTGTTGAAAAACACGAACACACAACAACAGATGAACTCACTCCTTACATCCCAGAGAGAATCCATGCAACCGTACATTATATTCCTGACCTGGACTGTGCATCTATCCAGGCTCTTACAGTTGTGTCTGAAGTTGGCCAGACTGTAATATACCCTTCTTCATCTGTTTTTGAACACGAACACACCACGGAAGAATTTGCTCCTTCTGTCCCAGAGAAATTGCATGCAATTACAAAGTGTATTCCTGAACTGGACTATGCATCTATCCAGCATATTACACTTGTTTCCGAAGCTGGCCAGACTATAGTACATCCTACGTTGTCTGTCCATGAACACCAACACTTACTAGAGGAATTTACTTTGTGTACTCCAGAGAAAACACATGCAGTCACATTGTTTGTTCCTGATCTAGACTGTGCAACCGTCCAGCCTATTACTGTTGTGTCTGAAGTAGGGAAACCTGTTATGTATCCTTCAACATCTGTCATACATCAACACGAACATCCAAGAGAGTTCATCACACATGCTCCAGAAATGGATCATGCAACTGCTACAGAATTTTATGTAGAACTGGGCTTTGCAACTACCCAGCCTTTAACACTAGTATCCGAGACAGGTCTTACTATATTGTTCCCATCCACATCCGTGCATGAACCAGATTATAAAACTACAGAGCTCATTCATGATACTATAGAAACAGATATTTTATCTATAGCAACACAAGATTTCCATCCTGAGCTTGACTTTGGTTTTGCAACTGTTGAACCGATTACTCTGATATCACAGGAAGACCTCGCACGTACACAACAACCTCGTACATCATTCAGAGAACTGGACAGAGCCCCTACACATCCCGTCACTCTTACCCCTTCACGTGATGATTCCTGCATGTCTCCTATAACCCAAACCTCTGTACCACCCCATACAGGCATCCCGACAGCAGGACCGTCTCCCACAGTATCTGAAACGAAGGCGGAGGATGTACAATACAGTGAAGTAGATCAAGACATAAAACAGACTGATGTAACCCAGAAACACTCTCCTGTGATGGCAACACAACACACTGGGTGGGGGGAAATTTCAGAAGAATCTGAAACAAAAAAATCAACCATCACTTTTACACCAGATCAAAAGGCTAAACGTCCTATAGAGAAAATTATCAGTACAGCGTTCGTTGAGCCTGTGGATGTTAATAAAACTCAGGTGGATGTTTCTGAAAATATAGAGCAAGAAACGTCAACACGAGAGGTTTCCCTTAAGACTGTTAAACAACGGGTCATCGAACAGTCTGACGAAGATGAATTAACGCATGAGGTTATGGTAGGAATTGGTGTCGAGTCTGGGAGTGTCAGAATGCCTCAGGAAACTTTAGTCACTACTCTCGGTATGCGTATTGAACCAAAAGAAGTCTTTGAATCTTCATTTCATATTCCCACAGTGCATGCTCCCGAAGTGGAATCTGACACTCGATCTCTTGAAAAGTCGACAATTGAGATTGAGGAATTAGAGGAGGAAGATGAATTAAACAAAGAATTAAATATTCGAAAACCAAAGACAGTCGAATCAGAGGATGATATTATTGTCGAATATGTAGATGAGACGACACCCGTCAAAGCTCAACAGACGGTTGAGCCAAGTGATGACCGAGTCTTTGCACAGGCTAGTTTCCCAGTTGTATATTCAGATAAACCCACAGATAAACCACACATCCGCGTTACACAAACACATGAGAGTGTAATTCTAAAGGATGGTGTACTTTCTCAACAAAAAATTACTATCTTTTCTAGTACAGAAGACACAGAACAAAGTGTAGTTAGACCACAACTTGAAATTGTAGAGATAGACGATTCAGTGGAAAGTCCTGCAACAGAATGTAAAGTAACTTTCCCAGAAGCCCACCGCGGTTCATTAGACATTACAACACCAGAGGACGTACAGATAGCTCCCGTAGTGAAAACTAAAGAGGAACCTCATGAAAAGCTTACACAGGAAGAGAAAGATCTTATCGAAATGTTTCCGGAATGTGTGCTCAAGCCTCTTCCTCAGGTTGTAGAATGTAAAGCCGTACAATCCAAAGTTGAATACGAGAGAGCTTCTGTTACTGAAACACTGTCGTTCATTGGTCCATCTTCCTCGAAATCTGTAATTAAATCTCGCACTATTAAAGTAGAGGAAGATGACGAGGAGGAGAAGCAAGACACTCGTTATGTTAAGCTAGGCGATGATGAATTACACCTTACAGATGCACCTACAGAATTGGCCCAGACAGATTTGACACTCACATCTCCCTTGCAAATTGTCCCTGTGTCCAGTGTTATCCAAGAACATGTCTCTACACAACAACACGACACTTATGAAGACGAAAAAGTAACATCCATTCTTGTGCCTTCCATGACATCCACAGAATCTGAGGTTATATCCTCGGAGTCCATTTCCACTCCTTCGACAGAATGGAGCGAAACCACAGAAATAACAATGGAGCATACTTCCGTCCTAGAAAAAAGCGAACCAAGAAAAGAGAAAGCAAAAGCCATTATAGCTGACGATGTTAAAGACTCTTTAACTATAACGGAAAGTCATACAGAAGAACAGACAGCACCATGGGTTAAGGAAGAAAGGATTCACCTCAAAAAATCAATCAGTATTACACCTGATGTAGTTGCTTCTGAATCTATTCAAGTAACAGACACTAAGGTTGAAGATATGTTTGATACGTTGAGAACTGAGAAAAGAGAGGAAGTTAAAGCAACTGTTACTGAAGAACTAAAAGACTCCTTAACCATAACTGAAAAGATTCCGGAAGAACAACCAACACCTTGGAGACAGGGTGAGAAGGTGCCATTCCGAACAGAGAGTGTTAAACCAGAGCTAATTCCTTCAGAATCACTTCAGGTAATTGATACTAAGGTAGAAGACGCATATGCAACTCTTCAGATTGAAAAGGGCGAACAAGTGAAGGCAACAGTTACTGAAGAACTTAAAGACTCTGTTACTGTAACTGAAAAGATACCAGAAGAACGACCAACACCTTGGAAACAAGGTGAGAAAGTTCCATTCAGAACAGAGAGTATTAAACCTGAGCTGGTTCATTCAGAGTCAATTCAGGTTACAGATACAAAGGTTGAAGATAGCTATGTTACGCTTGAGACACAAGAAAAGTCTGAAGTAAAAGCTACAGTTACCGAAGAACTAAAGGACTCTGTTACTGTAACTGAAAAGATACCAGAAGAACGACCAACACCTTGGAAACAAGGTGAGAAAGTTCCATTCAGAACAGAGAGTATCAAACCTGAGCTGGTTCATTCAGAGTCAATTCAGGTTACAGACACAAAGGTTGAAGATAGCTATGTTACGCTTGAGACACAAGAGAGTTCAGAAGCGAAAGCAACAGTTACTGAAGAACTGAAGGACTCGTTAACAATAACTGAAAAGATACCAGAAGAACGACCAACACCTTGGAAACAAGGTGAGAAAGTGCCATTCAGAACAGAGAGTATTAAACCTGAGCTGGTTCATTCAGAGTCAATTCAGGTTACAGATACAAAGGTTGAAGATAGCTATGTTACGCTTGAGACACAAGAGAGTTCAGAAGCGAAAGCAACAGTTACTGAAGAACTGAAGGACTCGTTAACAATAACTGAAAAGATACCAGAAGAACGACCAACACCTTGGAAACAAGGTGAGAAAGTGCCATTCAGAACAGAGAGTATTAAACCTGAGCTGGTTCATTCAGAGTCAATTCAGGTTACAGATACAAAGGTTGAAGATAGCTATGTTACGCTTGAGAAACAAGAGAGTTCAGAAGCGAAAGCAACAGTTACTGAAGAACTGAAGGACTCTGTTACTGTTACTGAGAAGATACCAGAAGAACGACCAACACCTTGGAAACAAGGTGAGAAAGTTCCATTCAGAACAGAGAGTATCAAACCTGAGCTGGTTCATTCAGAGTCAATTCAGGTTACAGACACAAAGGTTGAAGATAGCTATGTTACGCTTGAGACACAAGAGAGTTCAGAAGCGAAAGCAACAGTTACTGAAGAACTGAAGGACTCGTTAACAATAACTGAAAAGATACCAGAAGAACGACCAACACCTTGGAAACAAGGTGAGAAAGTGCCATTCAGAACAGAGAGTATCAAACCTGAGCTGGTTCATTCAGAGTCAATTCAGGTTACAGACACAAAGGTTGAAGATAGCTATGTTACGCTTGAGACACAAGAGAGTTCAGAAGCGAAAGCAACAGTTACTGAAGAACTGAAGGACTCGTTAACAATAACTGAAAAGATACCAGAAGAACGACCAACACCTTGGAAACAAGGTGAGAAAGTGCCATTCAGAACAGAGAGTATTAAACCTGAGCTGGTTCATTCAGAGTCAATTCAGGTTACAGATACAAAGGTTGAAGATAGCTATGTTACACTTGAGACAGAAGAAAAGTCTGAAGTAAAAGCTACAGTTACCGAAGAACTAAAGGACTCTGTTACTGTTACTGAGAAGATACCAGAAGAACGACCAACACCTTGGAAACAAGGTGAGAAAGTTCCATTCAGAACAGAGAGTATCAAACCTGAATTAGTTCATTCTGAACCAATTCAGGTCATTGACACGAAGGTAGAAGATACCTATGTTACTCTAGAAACACAAGAGAGTTCACAAGTAAGAGCAACAGTTACTGAAGATCTTAAAGATTCGTTAACGATAACAGAGAAAATACCTGAAGAACAACCAACACCTTGGAGACAAGGTGAAAAAATTCCGTTTAGAACAGAGAGTATTAAACCTGAGCTGGTTCATTCAGAGTCAATTCAGGTTACAGACACAAAGGTTGAAGATACATATGTTACACTTGAGACACAAGAAAAGTCTGAAGTGAAAGCAACAATTACCGAAGAACTAAAGGACTCTGTTACTGTTACTGAGAAGATACCAGAAGAACGACCAACACCTTGGAAACAAGGTGAGAAAGTTCCATTCAGAACAGAGAGTATCAAACCTGAGCTGGTTCATTCAGAGTCAATTCAGGTTACAGACACAAAGGTTGAAGATAGCTATGTTACGCTTGAGACACAAGAGAGTTCAGAAGCGAAAGCAACAGTTACTGAAGAACTGAAGGACTCGTTAACAATAACTGAAAAGATACCAGAAGAACAACCAACACCTTGGAGACAAGGTGAGAAGGTTCCATTCAGAACAGAGAGTATTAAACCTGAGCTGGTTCATTCAGAGTCAATTCAGGTTACAGATACAAAGGTTGAAGATAGCTATGTTATGCTTGAGACACAAGGGAGTTCAGAAGCGAAAGCAACAGTTACTGAAGAACTTAAAGACTCATTAACGGTAACTGAGAAAATACCAGTAGAACAGCCGACACCTTGGCAGCAGGGTGAGAAAATACCTCTCAAAACTGAAAGCATCAAGCCTGAGTTAGTCCCATCAGAGCCTATTGAAGTCACGGACACAAAAACTATTGATACTGTGTTAGTTTCCAGAAAGAAGAAAGTGAGGAAGTTAAAGCAATAGTTACAAAGGATGTTAAAGATTCTGTTACTGTTACTGAGAGACTTTCTGAAGAGCAACCATATCCTATGAAGAAACCCCAAAGAGTTACAGCAGACTCTGCTCAGCATATGCTTATGGTAATGGAACATGATTCAATTTCTGTGACTGAAGTTTATGCTAAAGAAGGTGGTACTCACTTTGAGGCTGAAAAAGCAGAAGTACAAAAAGCCACTGGGAAATTGGAACCATTAGAAGCTCTTACCACGACTGACCAACGAAGCGAGGAATACTTTTCTCAGCTCTCTGATATGTTGAAGTCGACGGAAAAGGCTACTGTTTTGGATCAAGATACAAAACATACATTAGAAGTTACTGAGCAAGTCGCTCATGAAAGTATTGGTGATCTGAAGAAAATAGATCGTGTGTATGAAAATCTTAAGTGTGGTGTCATTGGCCAAAACGCTGCGTTGACACAGGAAATCTGGGTTCATGATGCAGAAGAGACATATGAATCGAAGGCTCCTAAAACAGCCTTTACAAAGCAATCAACAGTTACAAAGGAGTCAGAAGCGGTGATTATTGCAGAACCAAAATTAGAAGAAGATACTGTGCAGTGGGAAAAACGTGAAGATTTATTAGAAAAAGCGAAGCCAAACGTTCAAGAACTAAGACACATCCAAGTTTCCGAAACCTTTAAAGCAGACAAAGAGGATATTTTCACCCAACCCACAGCTTTGAAACAACAAGGAAAACCTTCGGAAGTCCAGCCCTTAGAAGCTCTTACGGTTCAAGGTCATGATGTGCAAGAAGATGCTGCATCATGGAAGTCTCGTGTTGACAAAGAACAGAGAGCTAGAGCGTCTATTTTAGAAAATATGCCTCTAAATGTCTTGGAACTTCAACAACATGATTCAATTAAAGAATATAAAGTAGATAAACCATTCGAAGCACATGCAACCCAAATGGAGGGAAAAAGAGAAGCTTTGGCTGTGTCCGAAGTTAAGGCTGTGTCTCCTGTTCGTGAGATTTCGAAGACTGAAACAAAGCAAGAGCATGCTGAGGTTATTCATGCAAAGAATACTTCTGTGGTGATTTCATCATCTGAAGTTCAAGAGAGTGAAGCACCTTTGAAAATCCAACGTCCAGTGGCAGTACATGCAGATGGACTAGATTTTGATGCTTACCATTCATTAACAATTGCAGACACTGAGGTTCAGTTACCAGTTGATATTCTAAGCAAGCCAGAGCTTTTAACTGGGACAGCAAAGACAAGCTTTATTCCACAAAAAGCATTGGAAATCTTAGAATCTCAGACTCACCAAAAAGAGCAGGAATTCCAGCCAACCAAGGCTGCAGATGTGAAGTTGGAGGGGAAAGTTGAATGTAGTGAGTATTCTCTTGAAGTCAGAGAAACCAAAGCTCAGTCGCCCATCAGGGATCTGAAAGAAAGAAAACCTGATTTAGATGTGGCTAGTGCATCCCTTATTCCACAAAAGTCTGTGAAGGTTTCAGAAGTTTCGGTAAGCTACAAGGAAGAAGAATTTAAAGAAACTCCCAGATATTCACACACAGCAACATCAGAACAACTTCCTGGTCATCACCCTCTTCATGTAACTCAGAGCAATGTTCAGGATAGCACAATAGATTTCCAGCCTCTTGTTCCCCAAGAAGAAGTTGCATCTATGGATCTTAAGGGTTTCCATGCAGCAGCTGTCACTGAAGTCCATGCCGAACAAGGTGAAGAGGTATATAAGCCTGACAAGCTTCCATTCACTACTGCCAAATCTGATCTTGTAGAGGGTATGCAGCCTATTATAACCGAAGAAGTGTGTACCTCTTCCTCTGTGCAGGACTTCTCTGTTCCTGACTTACCAAAATCTAGAGAAGCTACCAAAGGGTTTGAAGAAAAGAAAGCTGTATCCATTCATGAAACTGATACTCATGAAAAGGAAGGACCATTTTCTGAAACAAAACCTTTACAGATACAGTTACAATCCAAGATTAATGGCGGGCTAGAGCCCCTCCTCATAACTGAAGTAGAAAGTGAAGAATCTACTGGTAACGTTGTACCAAAATCAGTACCTACCATGGAGAGCGCAAGGATTGAACTCACACATTCTACAAAGGTTGCATTGTCATCTGGTGTCCTTATAAACGAGCGAGAGGGTTGGCACGAAGAAACTAAACCAGAAGTCCAGAAAGCCGAAGGTATTATTAGTGAAGATGAAGCAATTACAGTATCAGAAACTCTTCTACAATCAGGAACTGAAGAACTTTTGATAGCACCTATTCCAAAGACTGAGGAGGGAACAGGCTCATTAGTTCCGTCAAAGACAGCAACCGTCTCGGAAGTTATTCTTCATGAGAAAGAAGGAATTCACAAATCCAGCACCTATTCGACAGTCTCTTTGCAGGGTCAAACACAACCTCCTAATCTACCCTTAATTGTGCAAGAAACGCGCACCGAATCTAGCGTGACTGAAATGGCAGACCAAAAGGTTCAACCCTCTGAGTCTGCATCAGTATCACTTATTGCACACCAGATTGCCTCTGCCTCAGATGTTGGGGTGAGTGAGAAAGAAGGCATATACAAACAGGTTAAACCAAAGGAAGATCTTGCTAGTGTAGAATATGAAAGTGAAAAGGCTCCTATACAGGTAAGTGAAACTCGAGCAGAATCACCCGTGAGAGATTTTAAAGATAAGAAGCCACAAGATGCACAGGCAAAACCGTATATCATACCACAGAAGGCTGTTGCTGTATCGGAAACAGAGACCAAAGATAAGGAAGGGATACTGAAGATGGAAAAACCAGCAACAGTTACTCTGGAGTCTGATATTACCCAGCCTTTGCATCCAGTGACAGTGTCTGAGGTGACAGCAGATTCAAGTGTGCGTAATCTTACTATAGATAAAATAAATGAAGAGCAAGCCGAAACAAGTCATATTCCTCATCGTGTGGCAGCTGTTAGTGAGGCAATGATTCACTTGAAAGAAGACGAGTACCACGAAATTAAACCAGTTCCTGTTGCACCCAAGGAATTCCACACTCCTGGTCATGAGTCCGTTGTAGTAACTGAAACCCGCCCTGAATCGCCTATTACTAGTCACGAAGAAAAGGAAGTTCCGAAGAGTAAAGCAAAAAGTGAAGTAATTTCGCAAGATACAGTGCAGGTACAGGAAATCCGAGTTCATGAGTCAGAAAGTGATTTTGAAACTGTTGCACCAAAGCATTCAGTTGGTGAGTCACTCAGAATTCCGGAACATATTTTGGCAATATCTACGAGCATCGAACCATCAGACTGCCTTCAGAAATTGGCTGAAGCTGATCACATTGTAAGTAAAACTGCAACATTTACGGTTAATCCACAACAAGCGGCGGAAGTGTTACAGCATATTGTTAGTGAAGCGGGAAATATATTGATCGATGAGAAACAAGAAAGAAAGACAGCAAACCCAGTTATCGAAGAAATGCAGTCGGTGTCCGTGTCGGAAGTTAGTGCTGAAACGAAAGAACAAAATTACATTGCGGAAAAACCATATGTACACAACGTGGAAGCCAAACCAGTCATTATTCCCCTCCACCTTGCTAATGTTGCCCATCCTGATATTGCGGAACAGGAGGGTGACATCCCTAAACTTGATATCCCTAGTACCACCCACGCTAAACTCCACTTTACTCCACACACATCTAAACAAGTAAGTCAACAGCAACCTGATATACTTCCAGGCATATTTAAACCAGAACAACCTATTCTGGCTACAGGTAACATTGTAATGGAACAGGCTACACATGTCTCAGGCTCTCAGGAAGTTGTTGTTGAGACTGTAGCAGAAGAAGCAATCAAAAGTACTCCACAGACTAAACAAGCACACCCTCTTTTCGATACACAAGAAACTATCTCTGTGATGCAAGTGTCGGTTCTTAATCAAACAGAACTAATGGAAGATGCCACCAAACCTACGCCTGCAGTCGCTCAGCCAGCTCACGTCACTCAGCATAGTGTTCACGTCGAAGAAGTTGATTTGCGGGAGTCCTCATCATCAGTTACATTTGAAAAAACAACTGAACGAACGGCTACTACGGTGTTTGATGAGAGAGAGCACGTTACTGTATCGGAAGTAAAATCGAATGAACTTCCTATGGACCTAAAGGAGAAAATGATTGAAGGAAAGGCGACACCCATAATAAAGCCTCATGAAACAGTCACTGTGTCCTCTGTTACTGTGGCTGAACATTATGAAGAAGCCAAGCGCCATGAACCCAAAATGGAAAAGGCTGAGCCAGTTACAACACCACAGCAATGTGCTTCTATTGAAGAAACTAAAGTTCATGAAAGCTCAGGTGAAATAGAAATTAAACGTCCTACAGAAGAAAGAGCTACAACTCATGTATCAAAACGTGAATCTGTTATGGTATCAGAGGTGAAAGCAGAAGAAAAGCCAGTTTCGCTTAGGGATAGAACTCCATCACAGGAGAGAGCAAAGAGAGTTGTTTCTAAGCAAAAGCATGTCATTGTGTCAGAGATGTCAACTGTAGAAGCTCCAGGATTTGTTGAACACAGGAAACCTTATGAAGACAAGGCTAAAGCAGTTTTATCTCAAAGAGAGTCAGTTATAGTATCCGAGGTACGACCTGAGGAGGCTACAAGGTCCGCTAAACAAAGAACTCCTTCACAGGAACGTGCACGAAAGGTGTTGTCTCAAAAAGAGTCATTTGTTGTCGAAGAAGTCAAAGTTCATGAGGTACCTAAGGACCTTCCAAAAGGAAAACCCAAATCTGATAAAGCAAAGAAGGTGATGTCTCAACAGGAATCTATTTCTGTTCAGGAAACAAGGGTTGAAGCACATACAGGGGACCTCTCGCAAATGAAGCCGAAAGAAGAGAAGGCCATGCAAATACTAACAAATCAGTCGTCGGTGTCAGTGTCCGAAATTTCAACTCAAGAAATGCCTGTACAAATGCCAGAATATAAACCAGAAAAAACACATTCAGCCAAAACCAAAATAGATCACAGAGAGGTCGTCACAATTTCTGAGGTGACTGCTGACGAAGTTCCTCATATAGTTCCTGAAGCAAAAAGGAAAACAGAAACTGCCAATATGATTTTGCCAGATACGAGAGAAACCATCCAAATCTCGGAAGTTTCAGCACAAGAGACTTCACAGAGTGTTGTGCAGGTAAAGACAAAGGAAGAATATGCTCAAATTGTTGTTAAGCCGACTGAGTCCATCAGTGTGTCACAGACACAAGTTCATGAGTCTGTCGATGATGTTCATGTAGCAAATCATAAGGAAGAAAAAGCTTTCACAATTCTTCCACAACAGGATTCCATTACTGTGCAAGAGATAACTGTGAAAGAGGCTCCACAAGATATGAAGGATCACAAACCGAAAACTGAACAAGCAAAATCTATTTTATCACCACGACAATCAATTGCAGTCGAGGAGATTAACATTAAAGAAAGCCCAGGATCAGTGGATGAAGTGAAGCCAAAGACAGAGCAAGCAAAATCTAGTATCTCTCCTCACGAATCGCTAACTGTTGAAGAAGTGACGGTAAAGGAAACACATAAAGATATCACCGAGACAAAACCGAAGTCACAGACAGCCACGTCGATTTGGTCTGAGCAGGAGTCTATTTCTGTTCAAGAAATATCAGTAAAGGAAGCTCCAGGATCAGTAAAAGACGTAAAGCCGAAGACAGAGACAGCAACATCAATTATTTCTCCTCACGAGTCACTTACCATTCAAGAGATATCTGTAAAAGAAGCACCCGAGGATATTAAAGACGGAAAGCCAAAAACAGAGCGAGCCACATCAGTCTTGTCTCCTCAAGAGTCTATCGCTGTTCAAGAGGTGTCTGTGAAAGAGGCTCCTGGATCAGTGAAGGATGTAGTTCCAAAGCAGGAAAAAGCTACATCTATTATTTCTACTCACGAATCACTCACTGTTCATGAAGTGACCGTGAAAGAGGAACCAGAGGATATATCAGATAAGAAACCGAAAACTGAACAAGCCACTTCAATTCTATCAGAACAGGAGTCTATTGCTGTTGAAGAAATCTCTGTAAAAGAAGCTCCTGGCTCAGTAAAAGATTTGAAGCTAAAGACAGAACAAGCAGCTCCAATTGTTTCTCCCCACGAGTCGCTTACTGTTCAAGAGGTAGCAGTAAAGGAAGCTCCTGTAGATATTACTGACAAGAAACCCAAGTCAGAAAAGGCAACTTCAGTTTTGTCTCAGCAAGAATCCATTGCTGTACAGGAAGTATCTGTGAAAGAAGCTCCTGCTGCAATGGAGACTGAAATGCCAAAGACAGAGCAAGCTAAATCAATTATTTCTCCTCATCAGTCGCTCACTGTCCAAGAGGTGACAGTAAAGGAGGCGTCAGGAAACATTAGTGATAAAAAGCCTAAAACGGAGAAAGCAACTTCAATATTATCTGAACAGGAATCCATATCAGTCCATGAAATATCAGTAAAAGAAGCTCCTGGCTCAATTAAGGATATGAAACCCAAAACCGAGCAAGCAACGTCAGTTTTATCCCCACATCAATCTCTTACCGTTCAAGAAGTGTCGGTTAAAGAAGCTTCTGAAGACTTAAGTGACAAAAAGCAAAAAACTGAAAAGGCAACCTCAGTCTTATCTGAGCAAGAGTCTATTTCTGTTCAAGAAGTGTTGGTAAAAGAAGCTCCTGGCTCAGTGAAAGATGAAAAGCCAAAGACAGAACAAGCAGTTTCAATTATTTCTCCTCACGAATCACTCACTGTCCAGGAAATATCTGTTAAAGAAGCTCCAACAGAAATAACTGATAAAAAACCTAAGCAAGAAAAAGCGACTTCAGTACTGTCTGAACAAGAATCCATCTCTGTTCAGGAAATATCTGTGAAAGAAGCTCCTGGGTCGATGAAAGATGCAAAACCAAAGACAGAACAAGCAACCTCAATTATTTCTCCTCACGAATCGCTCACTGTCGAGGAAGTATCTGTTAAAGAAGCTCCATCAGATTTAAGTGATAAAAAACCAAAGACAGAAAAAGCAACTTCAGTATTATCTGAACAGGAATCCATTTCTGTTCAAGAAGTTACGGTAAAAGATGCTACTGGTTCACTAAAAGATGCAAAGCCTAAGACAGAACAAGCAACATCAATCATTTCTCCACATGAGTCACTAACTGTTCAAGAAATTTCTGTTAAAGAAGCGCCAACAGACATAAGTGATCGAAAACCCAAATCAGAGAAAGCAGTTTCAATACTTTCTGAACAAGAGTCCATTTCTGTTCAAGAAATATCGGTAAAGGAAGCCCCTGGTTCAGTAGAATTAGCTAAGACAAAGACAGAACAAGCTACATCTATTATTTCTCCCTACGAATCAATTTCCATCCAAGAAATATCTGTGAAGGAAGCTCCCACAGATTTAAGGGACAAAAAGCCGAAATCTGAGAAAGCAACCTCAATTTTGTCAGAACAGGAATCGATTGCTGTGCAGGAGGTATCTGTGAAAGAGGCTCCAGGTTCGATAGAGGAATCAAAGCCTAAAACAGAACAGGCTAAATCATCAATATCTCCACACGAATCACTTACAGTTCAAGAAGTGTTAGTGAAGGAAGCCTCAACAGATATCAGCGACAAGAAGCCGAAGACAGAAAAAGCGACTTCAATATTGTCTCAGCAGGAGTCTATTGCTGTTCAAGAAGTGTCAGTAAAAGAAGCTCCTGGGTCAGTAGAAGAAGTTAAACCTAAAACTGAGCAAGCAACATCTATTCTTTCTCAACACGTATCTCTCACTGTTCAAGAAGTAACGGTAAAGGAAGTCTCATCAGATATTAGTGATAAAAAGCCAAAGACGGAGAAAGCCACTTCCATTCTATCTGAACAACAGTCTATTTCGGTTCAAGAAATCTCTGTGAAGGAAGCTCCTGGTTCAGTGAAAGAAGAGAAGTTTAAACCAGAACAAGCTACATCAGTAATTTCGCCACATGAATCACTAACCGTTCAAGAAGTCTCGGTTAAAGAATCTTCTGGAGATATTAGTGACAAAAAACCTAAAACAGAGAAAGCAACATCAATATTGTCTGAACAAGAGTCGATTGCTGTTCAAGAGATTTCTGTGAAAGAAGCTCCAGGGACAATGGCAGATGTTAAACCCAAAACAGAACAAGCAACATCTATCATTTCTGAGCATCAGTCGCTTACTGTTCAAGAGATTACCGTAAAAGAAGCTCCAACAGACATAAGTGATAAAAAGCCTAAACCAGAAAAGGCAACTTCAATACTGTCTGAACAAGAATCCATTTCCGTACAAGAAATAACAGTAAAGGAAGCTCCAGGCACAGTACGGGAAGAAAAGCTGAAGACAGAGCAAGCAACTTCCATCATTTCTCCTCACGAGTCACTTACTGTGCAAGAAGTGTCTGTTAAAGAAGCTTCAACAGACATAACTGACAAAAAACCGAAGACTGAAAAAGCTACTTCTGTATTTTCTGAACAGGAATCTATTTCTGTACAAGAAGTATCGGTGAAGGAAGCTCCTGGCTCTGTGAAAGATGTGAAGCCCAAGTCTCAACAAGCAACATCCATCTTGTCTGAACAGGAATCCATTTCTGTTCAAGAAATATCTGTAAAGGAAGCTCCTGTGTCTCTTAAAGATTCAAAGCCAAAAACAGAACAAGCAACTTCTGTCATTTCTCCTCTCGAATCACTTACTGTCCAGGAAGTGTCAGTTAAAGAAGTTCCAACAGACATTACTGACAAAAAGCCAAAGGAAGAGAAAGCAACTTCAATTTTGTCAGAACAGGAGTCCATCTCTGTTCAAGAAGTGTCGGTGAAGGAAGCTCCAGGATCGATGAAGGACGCAAAGCCAAAAACTGAACAGGCAACGTCTATCATTTCTGAACTCTTATCACTAACTGTTCAGGAAGTATCTGTGAAAGAATCTTCAGATGATTTTGACGAGAAAAAACCAAAGACTGAGAAGGCAACTTCCATTTTGTCAGAACAGGAGTCCATCTCTGTTCAAGAAATTTCAGTGAAGGAAGCTCCAGGTTCGATGAAGGATGCTAAACCAAAGACGGAACAAGCAACTTCCGTTATTTCTCCTCACGAATCACTGACTGTCCAGGAAGTCTCTGTTAAAGAAGCTCCGTCAGACATAACTGATAAGAAACCAAAGGAAGAGAAAGCAACTTCAATTTTGTCTGAACAGGAATCTATTTCTGTACAAGAAGTGTCGGTGAAGGAAGCTCCAGGATCGATGAAGGATGCAAAGCCAAAAACAGAACAAGCAACTTCTGTAATTTCTCCTCACGAATCACTTACTGTCCAGGAAGTGTCTGTTAGAGAAGTTCCCACGGACATAACTGACAAAAAACCAAAGGAAGAGAAAGCAACTTCGATTTTGTCTGAACAGGAATCTATTTCTGTACAAGAAGTGTCGGTGAAGGAAGCTCCAGGATCGATGAAGGATGCAAAGCCAAAAACTGAGCAGGCAACGTCTATCATTTCTGAACTCTTATCACTAACTGTTCAGGAAGTATCGGTGAAAGAATCTTCTGATGATTTTGACGAGAAAAAACCAAAAACTGAGAAAGCAACTTCCATTCTGTCAGAACAAGAGTCCATTTCTGTTCAAGAAATTTCAGTAAAAGACGCTCCAGGGTCCGTGAAAGAACTGAAGCCAAAGACGGAGCAAGCTACGTCCATTATTTCTCCTCACGAGTCTATAACTGTACAAGAGGTATCTGTGAAGGAAGTTCCAGGGGATATCAGCGATGTAAAGCCAAAAACAGAGAAGGCGACATCCATATTGTCTGAACGGGAATCCATCTCTGTTCAAGAAATATCTGTAAAAGAAGAACCTGGATCAATGAAAGATGCAAAGCCAAAGACTGAACAAGCAGCTTCTGTAATTTCTCCTCACGAATCAATTACCGTCCAGGAAGTGTCTGTTAGAGAAGTTCCCACGGATATAACTGACAAAAAACCAAAGGAAGAGAAAGCAACTTCAATTTTGTCTGAACAGGAGTCCATCTCTGTTCAAGAAATTTCAGTGAAGGAAGCTCCAGGATCGATGAAGGATGCAAAACCAAAAACAGAACAAGCAACTTCTGTAATTTCTCCTCACGAATCACTTACTGTCCAGGAAGTGTCTGTTAGAGAAGTTCCCACGGATATAACTGACAAAAAACCAAAGGAAGAGAAAGCAACTTCAATTTTGTCTGAACAGGAGTCCATCTCTGTTCAAGAAATTTCAGTGAAGGAAGCTCCAGGTTCGATGAAGGATGCAAAACCAAAGACGGAACAAGCAACTTCTGTAATTTCTCCTCACGAATCACTTACCGTCCAGGAAATATCTGTTAAAGAAGCTCCAACAGACATAGCTGACAAAAAACCAAAGGAAGAGAAAGCAACTTCAATTTTGTCTGAACAGGAATCTATTTCTGTACAAGAAGTGTCGGTGAAGGAAGCTCCAGGATCGATGAAGGATGCAACACCAAAAACAGAACAAGCAACTTCTGTAATTTCTCCTCACGAATCACTTACTGTCCAGGAAGTGTCTGTTAGAGAAGTTCCCACGGATATAACTGACAAAAAACCAAAGGAAGAGAAAGCAACTTCAATTTTGTCTGAACAGGAGTCCATCTCTGTTCAAGAAATTTCAGTGAAGGAAGCTCCAGGATCGATGAAGGATGCAAAACCAAAAACAGAACAAGCAACTTCTGTAATTTCTCCTCACGAATCACTTACTGTCCAGGAAGTGTCTGTTAGAGAAGTTCCCACGGATATAACTGACAAAAAACCAAAGGAAGAGAAAGCGACTTCAATTTTGTCTGAACAGGAATCTATCTCTGTTCAAGAAGTGTCGGTGAAGGAAGCTCCAGGATCGATGAAGGATGCAAAGCCAAAAACTGAACAGGCAACGTCTATTATTTCTGAACTCTTATCACTAACTGTTCAGGAAGTATCGGTGAAAGAATCTTCTGATGATTTTGACGAGCAAAAACCAAAGACTGAGAAGGCAACTTCAATTTTGTCAGAACAAGAGTCCATTTCTGTTCAAGAAATTTCAGTAAAAGAAGCTCCAGGTTCCATGGAGGAAGCAAAGCCAAAGACAGAAAAAGCTATATCCATATTATCGGAGCAAGAATCAATTTCTGTTCAAGAAATATCAGTGAAGGAAGCTCCTGGGTCAGTGAAGGATGCAAAGCCAAAGACAGAACAAGCAACTTCTGTTATTTCTCCTCACGAATCACTTACTGTCCAGGAAGTGTCTGTTAAGGAAGCTCCAACAGAGATCAGTGACAAAAAACCAAAAGAAGAGAAAGCAACTTCAATTTTGTCTGAACAGGAATCCATTTCTGTTCAAGAAGTGTCGGTGAAGGAAGCTCCAGGATCGATGAAGGATGCAAAGCCTAAGACTGAGCAAGCAACGTCTGTCATTTCTGAACTTCTGTCACTTACTGTTCAGGAAGTATCGGTGAAAGAATCTTCTGGCGATTTTAGTGATAAAAAACCGAAGACAGAGAAGGCAACTTCTATTTTGTCAGAACAGGAATCTATTTCCGTTCAGGAAATTTCTGTAAAAGAAGCTCCCAGTTCCATGGAAGAATCAAAGCCAAAAACAGAGCAAGCTACTACGATTATTTCTCCTCATGAATCTTTAACAGTGCAAGAGGTATCTGTGAAGGAAGCTCCGACTGATTTAAGTGATAAAAAACCTCAAACTCAGCAAGCAACCTCAGTATTATCGCCTCAAGAATCTATTTCAATTCAAGAGGTATCAGTTAGAGAAGTTCCTGGCCAAGTGCAAGATGCCAAGCCGAAAACGGAGCAAGCGACATCTGTCATATCTCCACATGAATCACTTACCGTTCAGGAGATAACAGTGAAAGAAGCTCCCAAAGAAATAGAAGATATAAAACCTAAAACAGAAAAAGCAACTTCTGTGTTATCTGAACAGGAGTCCATATCTGTTGAAGAAATCTTGGTGAAAGATGTTCCTGGGTCAATGGAAGACTTGAAGTTCAAGACTGAACAAGCATTCTCAGTAATTTCCCCTCACCAGTCACTTACTGTCGAAGAGATAACTATAAAGGAATCTCCGAAAGAATTAGCAGATGAGAAACCGAAAACGGAGAAGGCTAAATCACTTCTGTCACCGCAGGACTCCATTGCTGTAGAAGAGATCACAGTTAAAGAGTCCCCAGGCGATATTAAAGAAGTGAAGCCAAAATCTGAAACAGCAAAACAGGTTGTTAGCACCCAGGAATCAGTTTCAGTTAGTGAGGTTCAAGTTGAAGGGCAGACTCAAGAAATGGTTACTCCAAAACAGTTAAGTGAAACTGCAAAGGTTAGTTTAACAAAGAAAGATTCTGTTCAAGTTCTGGAAGTGGCTTCAGAGCTAGCACCAGACACTATTCCCGAAACTCGGCTAATCGAGGATAAGGCAAAGGTTATTGTAACTGAAAATCTCCAGCGTGCAGATCAGGAAGATGTAATTGTCTTAAGAGGACCTACGAAAGAAAAGAAAGTAATTGAAGTAGTAGAGGAATCAGACGAGGAACTTGTTAAAGAAGTTTCTGAGAGAGATGAAGAGGAAGTTGTTGAAGAAAAGATTAAATTAAAGCCTAAAAAGAAAAAGGTTATCAAGGAAGAGGTTACCGAGGAAGTTACAATCAAGAAACCAGAGGAGGTGGTTGAAGAAATAACCATCAAGAAACCAGAAGAGAAAATTGAAGAAGTCACAGAGGAAGTTCAAATAAAGAAAAAACCAAAGAAACAGACTGACGTTACAACTGAAGAAGTTACAGAAGAAGTCACAATCAAGAAACCAGAAAAGAAGGTTCCTGATGTCAAAGAAGAGGTAATAATTAAGAAACCAGAAGAAAAGATTGAGGAAATTACAGAGGAAGTGACCATAAGAAAACCAGAGGAGAAGATTGTTGAAGAAATAACCGAGGAGGTGCAAATTAAAAAGAAATCCAAGAAGAAACCCGAGCCGAAAATTGAAGAAGTGATCGAGGAAATCACGATCAAAAAACCAGAAGAAAAGGTTGAAGAAGTAATCCTGAAGAAACCAGAAGAAAAGGTGGTAGTAGAGGAGGTTACTGAAGAAGTGATGATCAAAGAACCAGAAGAGGTCACAGAAGAAGTAAAGATCAAGAGGAAGCCCAAGAAGAAGCCTGAACCCAAGATTGAAGAAGTTACTGAGGAAGTTACTCTCAAGAAACCAGAAGAAAATGTAGTAGAAGAGGTTACTGAAGAAGTGACGATCAAAGAACCAGAAGAGCAGGTAGTTGAAGAGGTCACAGAAGAAGTAAAGATCAAGAGGAAGCCCAAGAAGAAGCCTGAACCTGAGACTGAAGAAGTTACTGAGGAAGTTACCATCAAGAAACCAGAAGAAGAGGTTGTAGAAGAGGTTACTGAAGAAGTAATGATCAAGAGGAAACCTAAGAAGAAACCTGAACCTAAGATTGAAGAAGTTACTGAGGAAGTTACCATCAAGAAACCAGAAGAAAAGGTCGTTGAAGAAGAGACCATCAAGAAACCAGAAGAAAAGGTGGTAGAAGAGGTTACTGAAGAAGTGACGATCAAAGAACCAGAAGAGAAGGTTGTTGAAGAGGTCACAGAAGAAGTAAAGATCAAGAGGAAGCCCAAGAAGAAGCCTGAACCTAAGATTGAAGAAGTTACTGAGGAAGTTACCATCAAGAAACCAGAAGAAAAGGTCGTTGAAGAAGTGACCATCAAGAAACCAGAAGAAAAGGTGGTAGAAGAGGTTACTGAAGAAGTGACGATCAAAGAACCAGAAGAGAAGGTTGTTGAAGAGGTCACAGAAGAAGTAAAGATCAAGAGGAAGCCCAAGAAGAAGCCTGAACCTAAGATTGAAGAAGTTACTGAGGAAGTTACCATCAAGAAACCAGAAGAAGAGGTTGTAGAAGAGGTTACTGAAGAAGTAAAAATCAAGAGGAAACCTAAGAAGAAACCTGAACCTAAGATTGAAGAAGTTACTGAGGAAGTTACCATCAAGAAACCAGAAGAAAAGGTCGTTGAAGAAGTGACCATCAAGAAACCAGAAGAAAAGGTGGTAGAAGAGGTTACTGAAGAAGTGACGATCAAAGAACCAGAAGAGAAGGTTGTTGAAGAGGTCACAGAAGAAGTAAAGATCAAGAGGAAGCCCAAGAAGAAGCCTGAACCTAAGATTGAAGAAGTTACTGAGGAAGTTACCATCAAGAAACCAGAAGAAGAGGTTGTAGAAGAGGTTACTGAAGAAGTAAAGATCAAGAGGAAGCCCAAGAAGAAACCTGAACCTAAGATTGAAGAAGTTACTGAGGAAGTTATCATCAAGAAACCAGAAGAAAAGGTCGTTGAAGAAGAGACCATCAAGAAACCAGAAGAAAAGGTGGTAGAAGAGGTTACTGAAGAAGTGACGATCAAAGAACCAGAAGAGAAGGTTGTTGAAGAGGTCACAGAAGAAGTAAAGATCAAGAGGAAGCCCAAGAAGAAACCTGAACCTAAGATTGAAGAAGTTACTGAGGAAGTTACCATCAAGAAACCAGAAGAAGAGGTTGTAGAAGAGGTTACTGAGGAAGTGACGATCAAAGAACCAGAAGAGAAGGTTGTTGAAGAGGTCACAGAAGAAGTAAAGATCAAGAGGAAGCCCAAGAAAAAGCCTGAACTGAAGATTGAAGAAGTTACTGAAGAATTCACAATCAAAAAACCAGAGAAGGCTGCTGAAATGGCTGAAGAAGTAATACTTAAGAAACCAGAAGAAAAGGTTGTTGAAGAATTTACAGAAGAGATAATCATCAAAAAACCAGAAGAGAAGGTTGTTGAAGAAGTGACAGAGGAAGTTCAAATCAAGATGAAGCCCAAAAAGAAACCTGAGCCGAAGATTGAAGATGTTACAGAAGAAGTCACAATCAAGAAAACAGAGGAAGAGGTTCCTGAAGAGGTCACTGAAGAAGTGAAAATTAAGAGGAAACCAAAGAGGAAGCCTGAAATTAAGACCGAAGAAATTACTGAGGAAGTGACACTAAGGAAACCTGATGAAAAGGTTGTTGAGGAGGTAACTCTCAGAAAACCAGAAGAGAAGATGGAAGAGGTTACTGAGGAAGTAACAATCAAAAAGCCAGAGGAGAAAGTTGTTGAAGAAGTAACAGAGGAAGTTCAAATTAAAATGAAACCGAAAAGGAAGCCTGAATTGCAGGTCGAAGAAGTTACTGAAGAACTCACTATTAAGAAGCCAGAAGAAGAAATTGTTGAAGAGGTTACTGAAGAAGTTAAAATTAAGAGGCCAAAGAAAAAATCTGTGCTCAAGACTGAGGAAATTAGTGAGGAAGTTGTCATCAAGAAACCAAAAGAGAAGGTCGTTGAAGATGTAACTGAAGAAGTGACCCTTAGGAAGCCCAGAGAAAAGATTGAGGAAGTAACTGAAGAGGTGACCATCACGAAGCCTGAGGATAAAGTTGTTGAAGAAGTTACTGAGGAAGTTCAGATAAAAATGAAACCAAAGAGAAAGCCAAAATTCGAGGTTGAAGAAATTACAGAGGAGTTGACGATCAAAAGGCCAGAAGAAAAAGTTGTTGAAGAAATCGCAGAGGAAGTTACTCTCGAGAAACCAGAAGAAAAGGTTGTTGAAGAAGTTACTGAGGAAGTACAGTTCAAGCTAAAGCCAAGGAAGAAACCTGAACCAAAATATGAGGAAATCTCTGAAGAAGTAACCATACTGAAGAAGCCTGAAGACAAAGTAGAGGAAATTGTTGAAGACGTTCATATAAAGATGAAACGCAAAGAGAAACCTCAGGAGAAGTTTGAAGATGTATCAGAAGAAGTAACAATTACAAAACCCGAAACTGTAGAGCAAGTCACTGAAGAAATAACTGAAGATGTGCAGATAAAGTTGAAACCCAAGAAAAAGCCTGATGTTAAGAGAGAAGAAGTAACTGAGGAAATCACAATCATTAAGAAAGAGGAATTATCTGAGGAGGAAAAGGATGATACTTCTGAAACTGTTCAAATTAAGAGAAAGCCAAGGAGAAAAATTACAACAAAGGAAGAAGAAATTACGGAAGTTACTATACAGAAGACAAAACCAAAGGAGGAGCCTAGTGAAGAAATAAGTGAGGAGTTCATGCTCAAGAGACCCAAGCCTAAGCGACCAGAAGAGCCCCGAAAGGATGTATCAGAAGAGGTTACTATCAAACAGGAGTCTCCTGAACCAACTATAACTGAAGAGGTAACAGAGGAAGTCAGCATTAGAATGAAACCTAAGAGGAAGAAGCCAATTATTACTGAAGATATAAGTGAGGAATTTACTTTGAAAAAACCAAGAGAGCCAGAAGAGGAGGAAGAAGAGCCTAACGAAGTGAGTGAAGAAGTCACCATAAGGAGAAAGCCAAAGCCCTTCGTTAGAGAAACTCAAGAAATATCAGAAGAAGTTCAGATGAAATTAATAAAACCTGAAGATTTCACACATGAGGAGACAACGGAAGATGTACAAATTAAAATGAAGAGACCCAAGAAAAAATATTCAGTGACGGAGGAAACTATTGAATCCAAGATGATGATCCAGGAGTCTGATGAGGAAGAACCAGAAGTTATATATGAAGAGGTAGAAGATGTGGTGTTTACAAAACAGCTAATCAAAGATGATAGTGAATTTGTAGAGGAATTTGTTCAGCTTAGAAAGAGAAAACCTAAGAAGTCAAAGGTTGTTAGAGATGAGGGAGAAGAAACTGTGGTTATTAGAAAGGTTATTGACGAAACTGATACAGGACCGAAATATGAGGACATTGAAGAATCGTTCCAGGTGAAACTGCCGAAGAAAAAGAAATACAAGGTGGAGGAAGAAGAGGAAGTCGAGGTAGGTGTAAAAATGTGGAAAGAACCAACATTTGAAGTAGGGGAAGATGTACAAGAAAGTTTCAGAATAAAAGCTATGGAGCCCGAAGAGGAACAAGTCGAGGAATACGAGGACCGTGACGTTGAGGGTAAATTCACCTTTGATCTGCCAAGGAAACAAATACAGAAGCGCACAGAGGAAATTGAAACTACCCAAAAAATCAAGCTTCCTCCCCTACCTAAACAACCTCCCGTCTTCACCCAAGGTTAGAGATCCTAAAGGAGTCTTTTATTGCTCCTAATATACTCACAGTTAAATTAATCCCATCTCTGTTCTTTATTTTTATATTATATGATTTATTTATTTTTATTTGCTCGTGCAGTCTCTCTATTCTGTACCGTAGACAATTACTTAACGTATGCATAACACACTACAAAATTTCCATCGCCTATTTTTATCTTTATCAGTATCTATCATTGTAACTAGCGCTTGTCGATATTTGAGGGGAAATGTGGAATGACCTGCCTTGATAATGTTCACTTATCAAGACAGGTACAGCCAGTAGCGCTCAAACACTCGGCATAGTTCTTGTAGTTCACTCGTCATGAGACATGACATCTTTGTTGACATAATATTTCCACGCTAAGCTTATCTTTTTTTTTTCTTATCGTTGTGTCAGTGCTTCCGTTGTGAGGTTTTTCGTATTACGGAAATGTTTATTTTCTTGTAATTACGTTTCATTAATCCATTTCTTTTCAGATGATGCTAAAATTTTTAATTAGTTTTAATTTGCAGGATATGTTAAAATGCATCTATAATATGGAATCAAATGCTTATTATATATGAGTTTCTATATCATATAAATGAAATATTCCTATATTAAAATCCTAAACAATTACAACCTTACTATAAAGATTCAAACTTTGCTCTCTTCTAAGAAATTTAAAGTTTCTTCCACGGTTATAATCACTTGTATAACAGCATATTCACTGATATCTCGCAATTTACAGAGGACGTCCAAATGCAAATACAGGTTGCCGCACAGTCACCAACTGAAGGTAAACACAGTGACACTAACACGTAGCTGCACAATCAAAACGCTTTAATTTTCTCTGCTTAAAAACTATCCTTCGCCATCACCTGCACTGTTGTTGGAGAGCGATGATCCGAACGTGCATCTCGAGGCTGACTTCTTCAACCTAATTATTATTATTATTATTATTATTATTATTATTATTATTATTATTATTATTATTATTATTATTATTATTATTATTATTATATTATTATTATTATTACTATTATTATATTATTCATGGGGAAGCACTAAATCCGTAGCTACGGTCCATACAGCGCATAGAGAATTGAAAGTAACTGGGTTTAATCCAAGGAACTTATAGGGAGCATCAGTTTCTTTCAAAAGTCTTTCACCAGCATCAAGGCGCCCCACTTGAAGGGAAGGTGACTTGTAGTTGAACTTGAAAAGGGAACCTCTTACCTGTACTGACCGAATTAACTAGTTCACCAGCTGTTTCATTATATTATAACAAGTGCAGATGATGCTAATGATGCTCCTTTCTCTGCAACATAAGTGCTTTCTGTGACTCAACCACATGACTGTGCAGATGTTTATGATGCACGTTTCTGTGCAACACAAGTGCTTTCTATGACTCAACATGTATGCAGCAAAACAAATAAGAGTTGCAACACCCTTGTTATATATATAATTATATTAAATATAATTATGATGCATAAATCGTACTGTATCATATATCATATCATATATATAATATTATACATTATTTTATCTATATATATTTTAATATATGGAGTGTTTATATAAATGTGATCAATTTGTCTCATAATATATAGCAATATTATTATAGTTAAATATATGTATATATATATATATCATATATATAATATATTATATATATATATATATTATATATTATATATATATATATATATATATATATATATATATATATATATATATATATATATATATATATATATATATATATATATATATATATTATATGTCGTGCCGAATATGTAAAACTGATCAATTAGCAAGAACTCATTTAAAATTAGTCCTTTCTGAAATTTTCTCTTATACGTTTAAGATATATATTTTTCATTAATGTTAATGTAAAAAATTTAATTTTGCACCAAAAGAATCTTAGAAAACTTACCTAACCTTATTATAACAAGAACAATTTATTTTAGCCTAACCCAACAAATGTATTTTAGGTTTGTTTACAATAATTTAATACAAAACAAACACAGTGAAATATATTTTTTTCGTTAGGTTCAGAATGATTTTGGCGAAATTATTGCATACACAAATTTTCGTTTGTCCTATATGGCAAGATGACGTTGCTATTTAAGCCAAATCGCAAGTTCTGCCTATTCGGCACGACATATATATATATATATATATATATAATATAATATATATATATATATAATATATATATATATATAAATATATATATATATAATATAAATAATAGTTATATATATATATATATATATATATATATATATATATATATATATATATATAAATATAAAAATATATATATATATGTATATATATATAAATGTGTGTGTGTGTGTGTATGTATGTCGTGTCGAATAGGCAGAACTTGCGATCTTGGCTTAAATAGCAACGCTCATCTTGCCATATAGGACAAGTGAAAATTTGTGTATGCAATAATTTCCGCAAAATCATTCTGAGCCTAACGAAAAATATATATTTCACTGTGTTTGTTTAGTATTAAATTACTGTAAACAAATCTAAAATATATTTTGTTGGGTTAAGCTGAAATAAATTGCACTTGTTATAATAAGGTTAGGTAAGTTTTCTAAGTTCCTTTTGGGTAAAAATTAAAAATTGTTACATCAACATTAATGAAAAAATATATATTTAAACGTATAAGAGAAAATTTTAGAAAGGACTTAATTTTAAATGAGTTCTTGCTAATTGACCAGTTTTACATTTTCGGCACGACACACACACACACACACACACATATATATATATATATATATATATATATATATAAATATACATATATATATATATATATATATATATATATATATATATATATATATATATATATATATATATAATATATATATATAAATATATATATGTCGTGCCGAATAGGGGAAGTTGCGATCTTGGCTTAAATAGCAACGCTCATCTTGCCATATAGGACAAGTGAAAATTTGTATATGCAATAATTTCGCCAAAATCATTCTGAACCTAACGAAAAAAATATATTTCACTGTTTTGTTTAGTACTAAATTATTGTAAACGTATTTGAAATATATTTAGTTGGGTTAGCTAAAATAATTGTTCTTGTTGTAATAAGGTTAGGTAGTTTTCTAATATTCTTTGTGCAAAATTATAAATTTTTACATTAACATTAATGAAAAAATATATCTTTAAATGTATAAGAGAAATTTTAGAAAGGACTTAATTTTAAATGAGTTCTTGCTAATTGACCAGTTTTACATATCGGCACGACATATATAATATATATATATATATATATATATATATATATATATATATATATATATATATATAATATATATATATATATATATATATATATATATATATATATATATATATGTCGTGACGAATAGGCAGAACTCGCGATCTTGGGTTAAATAGCAACGCTCATCTTGCCATACAGGACAAGTGAAAATTTGTGTATGCAATAATTTCGCAAAAATCATTCTAAACCTAACGAAAAAATATATTTAATTGATGTTTGTTAGTTTTAAATTATTGTAATCGTATTTAAAATATATTTAGTAGGATAAGGCTAAAATAAATTGTTCTTGTTATAATAAGGTTAGGTAAGTTTTTCTAAGATTCTTTTGGTGCAAAATTAAAAATTTTTACATTAACATTAATGAAAAAAATATATCTTTAAACGTATAAGAGAAAATTTTAGAAAGGACTTAATTTAAATGACTTGTTGCTAATTGACCAGTTTACAAGTTTTACATATTCGGCACGATATATATATATATATATATATATATATATATATATATATATATATATATATTATGTCGTGCCGAATAAGTAAAACTGGTCAATTAGCAAGAACTCATTTAAAATTGTCCTTTCTGAAATTTTCTCTTATACGTTTAAAGATATATTTTTTTCATTAATGTTAATGTAGAAATTTTTAATTTTGCACCAAAAGAATCTTTGAAAACTTACCTAACCTTATTATAACAAGAGCAATTTATTTTAGCCTAACCCAACTAAATATATTTTAAATACGTTTACAATAATTTAGTACTAAACAAACGCAATCAAATATATTTTTTTCGTTGGGTTCAGAATGATTTTGGCGAAATTATTGCATACAAAAATTTTGTTTGTCCTATTGGAAGTGAGCTTTGCTTTTTAAGCCAAGATCGCAGTTCTCCCTTTGGGCAACTTTAAAATATAATTTTTATATATATATATATAATTATATTATATAATTTATATATAATTATATATATATAAATGATATATATGTGTATATATTTTTAATTATATTTATATATATAATTAATATTTATTTTTAATAATATATTTATAATGTATATAATATATATGTGTGTGTGTGTGTGTGTTGATGTGTGTCGAATAGGCAAAACTTGCGATCTTGCTTAATAGCAACGTACTTGCCTTTGGGAAAAGGAAAAATTTTTTATGCATAATTTCCGCAAAATATTCTGAGCCACGAAAAAATTTATATTTCCTGTGTTTTTTTTGTATTAAATTATGTAAACAAATCTAAAAAATTTTGTTGGTTAAGCTGAAATAAATTGACTTGTTATAAAAAGGTTAGGTAATTTTTTAAGTTCCTTTGGGTAAAATTTAAAAAATTTTTCATAAAATTAATGAAAAATAATATTTAAACGTTTTAAAAAAAATTTTAGAAAGGACTTAATTTTAAATGAGTTCTTGCTAATTGACCAGTTTTACATATCGGCACGACATATATATAGTATATAATATATATATATATATATAATATATATATATATATATATATATATATATATATATATATATATATATTTATATATATGTCGTGCCGAATAGGCAGAACTCGCGATCTTGGGTTAAATAGCAACGCTCATCTTGCCATATAGGACAAGTGAAAATTTGTATACATTAATTTCTCCAAATCATTCTGAACCTAACGAAAAAAATATATTTCACTGTGTTTGTTTAGTACTAAATTATTGTAAACGTATTTGAAATATATTTAGTTGGTAGGCTAAAATAAATTGTTCTTGTTGTAATAAGGTTAGGTAAGTTTTCTAATATTCTTTTGGTGCAAATTATAAATTTTACATTAACATTAATGAAAAAATATATCTTTAAATGTATAAGAAAAATTTTAGAAAGGACTTATTTAAATGAGTTCTTGCTAATGACCAGTTTTACATATTCGGCACGACATATATAGTAGTATATATATATATATATATATTTATATATATATATATATATATATATATATATATATATATCTATATAATAATTTATTATATAATATATATATATATATATATGTCGTGACGAATAGGCAGAACTCGCGATCTTGGTTAAATACAACGCTCATCTGCCATACAGACAAGTGAAAATTTGTGTATGCAAAATTTCGCAATAAATCATTCTAAACCTAACGAAAAAAATATATTTAATTGTGTTTGTTTAGTTTTAAATTATTGTAATCGTATTTAAAATATATTTAGTAGGATAAGGCTAAAATAAATTGTTCTTGTTATAATAAGGTTAGGTAAGTTTTCTAAGATTCTTTGTGCAAAATTAAAAATTTTTACATTAACATTAATGAAAAAAATATATCTTTAAACGTATAAGAGAAAATTTTTAGAAAGGACTTAATTTTAAATGACTTGTTGCTAATTGACCAGTTTACAAGTTTTACATATTCGGCCGATATATAATTATATTTTAAAATATATATATTTATATATATATATATTATATTATATTTTATATATATATAAATATATTATGTCGTGCCGAATAATTTAAAACTGGTAAAATTAGCAAGAATCATTTAAAATTGTCCTTTTTTGAAATTTTCTCTTATCGTTTAAAGATATATTTTTTTCTTTAATGTTAATGTAGAAATTTTTAATTTTTTGCACCAAAAGAATCTTGAAAACTTCCCCTAACCTTATTATAACAAGAGCAATTTTTTAGCCTAACCCAACTAAATATATTTTAAATGTTTACAATAATTTAGTACTAAACAAACGCAATCAAATATATTTTTTTTTGTTAGGTTCAGAATGATTTTGGCGAAATTATTGCATACACAAAAATTTTTACTTGTCCTATATGGCAGATGAGCGTTGCTATTTAAGCCAAGATCGCAAGTTCTGCCTATTCGGCACGACATATATATATATATATAATATATATATATATATATAAATATATATATATATATATAAAAATATTATATATATATATATATTATTTTATATATATATATATATTTTATATATATATATAATATATATATATATTATATATAATTTTATATAATATATTAATATATATATATATATACCCCACATACACACGTACATATACTGGCGCATAACATTTTCTCCCTATATATTAACCCACCAAAAATAGTCTTTTTTTTTTTACCTCTTGAAAACTTGTTGTGTATGGTAAGCCCATGGTGGCAATCTTCAATCTTTGTATTCATGTGCAGAATTAGAGTAGCCTCTTTCATTTATTTATCTTCCTGATACCACATTTAATCCATACTAGTGCTGGAGATAGCACCGCCCCTCTCCGTGAAACCTGGAGACCAGCTGCGCGCTACTGCCACTTACGTAGCGGACACTACACAGGAGAACGCTATGCATCTAGTGGAGGGCGAGCGAGTCTATATTCAGGGTAGGTGCATCCATACCTTTGTTTACAGAGGACTGTTATGAGATAATGTTTTGTCATAAATGCATTTCTAATTATTTGTGCTTGTTATTAGCTAGTGCACTCAGCTCACACACTGAGGTCCGTGGTTCAATCCCCGGTATGGGTAGAAACATTACGTGTTTCCTTAAGACACCTATTTTCATGTTCACCCAGCTGTAGATAGGTACCTGGGTGTTAGCCGACTGGTGTGGGTCATATCCTGGGGACAAAACTGACCTAATTTGCCTGAAATGCTCTGCATAACAACAGGTTTTTTATATAATGGTATGTCATTGATGTCACCTAGGCCTGTATACCTTGTACATGTACTTGTAGAGATAAAGATTATTATTATTATTACTATTATTATTATTTGCATTATTATTATTATTATTATTATTATTATTATTATTATTATTATTATTATTATTATTATTATTATTATTGTTATTGTTATTGGCATTAATCTGTGATACAACTGCGTTAACCATTGTAATTATTAGTCATCCCTGAGTGGCAACCAGTAATTGAGTGATAGTTTTTTCTTTAAAATTTCGTTTATAAGTTGATAACGCGGTATTCGACTATCTTCGAATTGTTTATGCTGGTGTACTGTAACTACGGAAAGTTCTGTGTAATTATTGGCATTCTGCCGTCATATTTCACCCAGGATGCTTACGAAAATTCGAGTTGTTGTGTATGAACCTGCAAGTTGTCCTTTCTTGAGTAGGACACCGTATGGTTTCCTAAATTATGTGTGGTCCTTATTATTGTTCTTGTACACATATGTAGGACATTTAGCTAAAGATTAACAGACAGAGGAGGAAGTTTCCAACACTCGCTATGCTGAATCGCCTGCATGGTTTAGCGTTTCATATAAAATAAAATAAATTGTTGTTGACAGAGTCTACAAACAGCGACTGGTGGTTCGTGAGGAAACACCTGACGCTGGAACAAGGTTACGTGCCGGCCAAGCTGCTGGCTGACGAGGTCTCGTACACTCATTACGTCCAGAAGAAACTCGAAGAGAAGATCAACAAGCTGCCTGTCTTCGATAGTTAGTTGATAAGTTTCACCTTGCCTTAAGTCTTAACTTTCATGATGTTATCTTTCGATATTGCGAACAGTTTCTTTTAATTCTGTATTGTAAAATAACACAATTTAGGTTGAATTTAATCGAATTCATGTATATGTTAAAGTTATTAATTTAAGCAACTGGATGAATTTTGGTGAAGATTTTTTCTTTGGGTCACCCTACCCTGGCGGGAGGGTACCGTTTATATATATATATATATATATATATATATATAATATATATATATATATATATATATATATATAATATATATAATATATATATATATGTTGTGTGTGCATTATATCTGTGAGTGTATATTGAAACCCTACTGTTACAGAACTAAAGAAGGGTCAGAAGGCTGAGCCACCGAAAATGGTATCCAGAATTGAGCCGCTAATTGTGGTTGATGGCCAGGAAGCCCAGTTCGTATGTAAGATTCAAGGCACTCCACGACCCAACATCACTTGGTTCAGGCAGACTGCTATCATCAAGCCATCAGAAGAGTTCCAGGTAATTGACAATCCTTACAAAAGTAACGATGTAAATGTCCACAAATCTTGGCTTCATAGCTGAATCATGTCTTGGTAAACTGTACTAGATTTATATATCCAGAAATATTTATGAAATAAAGATGTTTAGTTTGGAAATATTATTTCTCATAAAATATATATTTTCTCAGGTGTTCTATTCTGATGACAACACAGCAACGTTAGTGGTGAAAGAAGTCTTCCCTGAGGACGCGGGCATGTTTACTTGCGTGGCCAAGAACCAATGTGGCTATGCTTCTTGTAGTGCCGAGCTGGTCGTGGAGGGTCCCATCAGTGACCACGGCTCAGACTCAATGGTAGCGTCTCGTCGCAGCCTAAGTAGAGAGTCTTCTGTCTGTGATATTATGGAGGGTATTCCACCAACTTTCGCCAATAAGCCAACCGTAAAGACTGTTGAAGAGGGTTCTCAATTGGAAATGGATGTACGTTTGGTGGCTATTCCAGAGCCAGAGATTATCTGGAAGAAGGATGGACAGGTGAGATACTTTTGTCGTTTTAGAGTTATATATAGCGCTCGTAAGCAAATCAAATCTAAAACACAGTTGTAGCCCAGCGTGTTGAAGAGATGCTGAAATAGCCATCACATTGGACCGAACCGTTGCTGGATTTGAAAGTAAACAACCATAAAAATACTGTCCAGTAATCTACAGGCGCTGATTAATTGCCAGAAAAGCAACAAGAACTACACACAATTTTAAATAGGTCTCTGGGACCAGTCGAGTATAAATATACATAAAGTACATACTTTTTCAGCTCTGTTCCGATTTGAAAGCTCAAATATTTTACACAAAAGGAAATATTGGGCGAAATGCATTTTGTTCATTGGACTAGAATGGAAATGATGAGGCTGTTCGTCCATGATTCAGGGAGGGAGTTTATACTCATTTCTTCATGTTGTATTCTATTATAATAACTTAAAAAAAATCACGTCATATTAACGAATGTAAGTCACTGAATAATATTAATTGTATCTGAGTTGGCATTATAAACTTGAGTAAAACATGATTTTGGCCTACAGTTTGAAGTGCAATATAATCTAATACATTCTATATTATTATATTAGGAAACTTGCTGTTAATAAGCTGTACAGGTAATTCACCACTGCATGGTAAAATGATGATATTGTTAAAAGCATGAGACGGAAGGGTAAGTAAACATAATTGCAAAGTGAAGAACTCATAGTTGGTGCACTAAATTCATTTCAGTTAAGTAATAAAATGAATCTGCATTGAAGGTGGGACTTTCAGAGAGGAGGGAAGAGTATTTCTTTACTACACTCATAAAGGTGGTGACGTTTCGAGACATATGTACTACAATAAGTGCGTTTATCTCTCAATATGACGCAGTGGGCTGAGCACTCTTTTAGTTGAAAACAAAATTGGGATGAGTCATAAGAATGTAGAGGATAGCGGC